CTAAGTTTGGTTATAAGCTCCATTGGATGCTTGTTGTACGTTCAGTGATTGGTTTCATTGTTTGGATTTCCACTGATTTATTTTAAAATAAAATAATGTCTTCAACATCCCAGGTTATTGCTTTATGTTACTCTAAAAGTGTGTATTATTCTTAGTCCACAAGAACGTATTTATAGTTCTTTGACGTGCATCCAAAATCTCATTAGGATATGGAGATTATATGATTTTTAGTATTAATTATATACGGAAATTTGTAGAATTGGCTACACAATAATCTGTGTTCAATCAATATTTCAACATTGTGATAATCGTACAGATTTTAAGTTTAAATTATTTTGTTCAAAGTTGAGTACTAAAGTATACTTGATGGAATGTTTGTTAATCAGATGCACCTATCATATAAAACAAGTATAAAATTGTAAGAAATCCTGCTCTGTTTTTCGCCTTTGACAATCATTTTCTATTAAGTAATAATATTTTAGAAAAACTAAGGTAAGATGATTCCCTGGGATGGTAATATCAACGTCTAAAAGTGTTGACATTTTCGGATAAGCTCCGTACTTGATTGCTTTTCATGTACTAATTAAAAGATTTCAAGACCTAAGTAACCCCATCCGCAAAAAGCTTATGGTTATTTGTATACCTTAGTCAATCATTCTAATATCTTAAAAATAACAATGTCATTTTATTCTAAATGTAAATACTAACTCTTAAATTATCTTCTTACATGTTTTAAAGCCTTTATCTAGAGATTCACACCAATTGCTTTCGCATGTTAGAGTCATTATGTCAAACGGAAGAACACAGGTAAATTTGTAAGTGAAATAATGTTGACGCTTATAATTTTTCAGCTAGGATTTGATATTTCCCATTCGAAAATAAGTCGCGCATACAGAATTTGAAATCGGTAATTGATGTAGGGTAGTCTCAATCAACAGTTTTTATTTTCACAGGGCACACAGAATCTGGTACAGAGGGACAACCAAAAAAATAGGGCGCGCTGTATGAAATATACAGACAAGAGTGTGGAGAAATAAAGAAAAAAGGAGTGTAGTTAAAGGGAAATAAATAAGTGACCAACAGTATTATATAATAGATGGCATATGCCATCTTAACTGAACTATATAGTTCAGTTAACAATACAACAAAGATTTCTTTTGGTTAAAAAACTTCTATTTGTTTTTATGAAAAAGACAAAGGAAAAGTAGACTAACCAACTCTCCGAATTCGCTACCCAGTATCAATAATTATTGCGAAATGTGGTACCTACTAGGATGACATTCGTGACACATCGCCAAGCCATCAAGGCTGGCTATCTCAAGATGGTGACATCAAGTGAGCTATCGTTACGGTCTTGTAGTGTAGTGCTTCGTTAATCGATTGTCTTGATAACCGTTATTATAACAATCTGAACGGTGTATAATATCAGAAGACAAAGGGAAGCAGCAACTACATTTTTATTGATAACTAACATGGGCTAGAAGGCAGTGAGCACATTGGCAAATGTAAGCAAGCGAGGGAAAGATGACGCAGAGTGGAGATGGCTGGGAAGCCAACTCGTTATAAGCAAGCATTAATCAACATTTATAGTCAGGCTAAAATGAATGACAGACATGTGATAGGTAGGATAAGAAGTGTGCATACACATACGCTCATATAAAAAAAATAGTCAAGGTCAATAAGGGAATAATTAATATGATCAAAATATGACTAATAACGTTATAGGTGAATTGGCTTGTCCAGAAACTAGAATAAGCTATGTAGGTGTAATATAGTACACGACGTTACACTACTCCCCACAGTCTCGACAGGTTATCAAACCTAAGTAATTAACCGTAAGTGTTCGTAAAGGCCTCTTACCTCCTCCATTCATATTTAATTTCGTCAAAGTTATTCTTTTAGAGATAGCGGTCTCAACTTTTCAGGGACCGACTGCTTATCAGGGAATTCACTTGTTGACTTGAAATATACAGATGACAGTCCCGTTTAGTGAACTTTGCTCCATTCTACATTATAGGTGTAACCACTAAAGAAAGAGGATATTCATAGGTTACTAGTATCCCACAAGTGCCTTCGAACAATTGCTTGTGTATTTTTGTGAGCAATGTCGAAGTTAGGCATAACGTACTAAGTGAATATGTTGAATTACGTAAGTCCAACCATCGCTTACCTCAACGAGTAATATTGCCTGGTGTAGGAGTAAATAGGAAGAAAGCTAGGGAAAGCCAAACTAAGATGTGGTACCAGTCCATGGGGACATTGACAACTGAACTGAGTCATGTACACCCGTATAGACTACCTGATTAAGTTTCGCATGATTATCGTAACCAACGGTTCAGATTCTAGGTAATGTGGCTTACAGTCGTTCCCAATGACACAATTATATTTACTGTTTTGTTCACTTTGAAACCTGAGTGTCGAAATCTCCGTATACAGATAATCCCTATGCCTAAGGAAGTATCTGGTGATAAAATTGTGAAATCCAGACCCATAGCAATAACTTCACCTTTCCTCAAAACAATGGAAAAATCACCGATACTCCCACTTCAACCTGCAAAAGAGCGGTGGTCTGTATCAGCTTGCTTACAAATGCAAAAGAAGCACCTTAAATGCCATTGCTGTTCTGTATCACAATATACTGTTCGGCTTACAAAAGGGTAAGAAGTATGTTCAATGCGCTTTCCTGGACTTCTGCTCTTAATTCTATCGCAAGACATTTTTAACTTAACAAGTTGATAGGCGTCAACACTGACGGCTGAATAACCGATTGGCTATGTTTTTACTGTTTAATGAAGGTGTGCCATGAGGAGCTGTCCTTCCACCTCTCCTTTACTTTTTATTTCTGCATGATTTGCCATCTTCCACAGTAAACACTTTTGTGACCACACTGTATGTATGCCTGTTTACATCCCATAGAAATGAACGAGTTCTTGTCTCGTATTGGATGATGGTCTGTTGATAATGGTCTCTTAATTAACTCATCTAAATGTCAAGCTGTTAACTTTAGCCTGAAACATGGACAGCACCTATACACTACTTTAGGATCCCATAATGCTTGTGCCATTGGAAACTCCTTGATAAAGTGTCGAAGGTCAATTATCTTGGTATTACTTTTCCCTCTGATCTTCCTTGGTCTTTTCATGTTTCACTGTTATCGAAAAAAGTTTACCATTTGACTTACTACATAAAGAGGCTGCATATCTTCGGGATTATTCGCCACATACAATTTGTCAATTACCACATACTACGTATTATTCTTTACCGTTCTTAATTATTCCTTCTCGGGCTTTTGGGAAAAGACTTTTCTGTACTGGGGAGAGCGCTGAAGGCAGTTAGCGAGGTGTGTGGTGAGATCATTATAATTATGGTCGTGGATAGACATCTTAAGTCTTGTAAACTACTGGCAGGTGTTATCCTATCACATACTAACCATCCACTTCATTCATATCTTTCTCCGTGTATATCTTCTGGTAGAAAAAGACGTGAATACATCAGAATCCATGCACGTAAGCAAAGGTATTAAAGTTGTATAATACCCTACCTAGCAAATATACTCTATGACGAAAAGGTTGTTAGGTTTAACCTTGTCAATAACCTGTATTCTTAAGCATGTCTCAAATTCGATAAGTTGTACAGACTCAGACTTTTTTTCGTTTCTTTTCATGTTTTTTGGTAAAAAAAAGACTTGTTGACATAACTCGTGCTGAGTTCTATAATGTACCAAAATATAATATAGAATAAAGCTATTAATAATAATCATCATCTTTCCCACCACTACTGGTACCTCTGCTAATCTAGTGTTTGTCTTGATAATTTAATTTCGCTGTGCTAATTTGGTATGGCGACATGAGCCAGAGCATGTGTCGAGTTCTATGTTGCATGTGAATGATTGAAGCTACATTCTTGAGTGCGGCAGTCCGTTCCGTCCTACTTTATGGCAGTGAAACATGGACGATAGGAGTAGAGGATATTCGTAGGCTACTAGTATTCGATCATAGGTGTCTTCGACGCATTGCTCGTATATCCTGGGACCACCGGGTAAGTAATGCAGATGTTAGGAAACGGGTACTAGGTAAGGATGGCAAATCGATTGATGAAGTAGTGAAACTTCATCAGTTGATATGGCTGGGACATGTGTTACGTATGCCCAACCACCGACTGCCCCGACGTGCAATGCTTTATGGTGTAGGAGCAGGTTGGAAGAAAGCTAGGGGCGGCTAGACCAAAACACGACATAAATCTATGAAGTCGCTGACAATTGGACTGGGCCATGTTGGTAGATGTAGACTACCTGGTTGGGATTCACGAGATGATAGCAACCGATGGTTAGAGACCTTGAATGACATGACTCAAAATCGTTGCAATGGCGAAGGTGCATCCACTCTTTGTGTTCTACCAAATTCTAATCTTCTGAATTCTTCATATCCCTATCCTTTTCCTCTTTCTCCAAATTTATTTCACTGTATTATACTCCTTCAATAACATCTTCAAACCTTAATCTTTCACATAATGCTTATACTTTTACTGCTTCTACCACTATGGGAATCCAATCGACAACTAAATATCTGTGCTAATATGGTATGGCAACTCGAACTGATGTACGTACGTACGAAGTTTTACGTTGTAACTGACTGACTGACTGACATTCTTGAGTTCAAACCCTACGAGCACCTTATTAGGATTTAACACAAGATTAGATTTATAGAATAAAAGAGGTGTGGAGGATATTCACATGATCTACGACCAGAAGCATTACATGTTTTGAAACCCACTGTAGTAACCTACATTTTCACACAACAGATTTTAGCATTTTCACGTACTTTTTACTGGATTATGTAATACTCCAAAGGGAATGGTAGACAAAAGTACTCTAATTATAAATTATTTGTTTACTAGTATCTGAGAAGAAAAATAAAATGACATGTTTATGATATGCCGATTAATTTGTAGAAAAATGAATGATTAGTAATAAACAGCTCTCGCGATAGTTGGCGCAATTGTTAGAAAACCAAAGAAAGCCAGGCGAATACGAGCGTCATGCCACCAATAGGTGCTATTCTAGAAAACCGATCATCTCCAGTTAGAGCCACATAATAACATGAACCAGAGAAAAGTAGAGTTCCGGTGGCGAAAAGAGTAGCAGACTGTAATAGATTAGTTCAAATTCACCGAAGATAGTGATTTACCAAAACAGGACGTCTGAATAAAGGCGTGGTTAACAAAGCCACCGAATGAACCAAATGATAATAAGCCCCAGTTTTGAAAATTTGTCTTTGTTTATCTTGTTCATCTTTGAAACCTAAAAGTTAAAACTTGGAAGAAAGTAAAACCATTTTTTTACCATGGGCACCATAAGCGCTCGCAATAACAGCCAATGCCCCAGACAATCCAGCTAGTCGTACCAACATTGAATTGCAACAAAATGACGGCTTAACTTCAATCACAGGACTAGATTGACCAGTTGTACCTCGACCCATGAGGTTTAGTATTCCATTAACGTAAGGTAGGTGTACCATCTACAAAATGTAAAATGCTAGTAAAACACGGGTACTAAATATACAGTGGTATTTCATAAAAGATTATTACTGACAGGAGGAAACGACGGAAGTTACTGAACTGATAGTTCTGAGTTGAACAAAAAATATTTGGGTGTATTCGAACATAGACTCATCAGTATATCCATGAGGCAACTGAAGATGAACAAGATTTAAAGTTTTCAGAAAACCACACATGTCACAGTAAATTATGGTTTATCACTAACTATCACGGAGTTCTGTGACACAATTTGTTCGGTACTTCAAGTCATGGATAGTACAGGACTTCGATAATCATCTCCTTTATTCTAAACAAAACAACAGATAGAAGTATATCCCTTGATTTCAACACTGGCATTAGGACCATTTGGCCTTCACAAACTTTCTGTTCCTTGGCTTTGGGGAAATGGCGAACGACTAGGTTATCCAAACTGTTACCTCTGTAGTCATTACATAAACACTTGATTGTTTCTTAAAAGCTAAAATTAACAACTAAAATTACTTCGGTAAGACTTCTGACTAATATATAGCCAACATTCCAGTTAACCTGACTAATTATAGTCTTTAAAGAGTTTTTCAAGTCACGTACCAAAATTTTGACTTATTTTCGATTTGCCACAGCCCTTCAGAGTTCATTAAATTTGAGAATTAATTGTATTGTTAGGACTTTGGCTGGATAGCGGACAACTGGTACTTAGTTATTTGGAATTCGAATTGCTTTTGTGTTTCTGATGTTACGACTACCAGCTTTGGAAACTTCTTTGTTCTTTGGTCAGAAATGAAGGTCGAAAACTTGCAGTTAACTCCAGAACCTATTGTAAAGTTGTGGATTTTTTTTAAGAAGTGTCGTCTTGTGTTCATTATTATCATACATTTCTACATTCTCTTAAGTCATTTCATCAAATTATAAACTTGTTCACTTCTACCTTAAAAACCGTGGTACGTGATTCCCGTGTATGGTTACCGTACTGGTACTTTCCAAGTATTCATTTTGAACCAAGAACGGCCAGCTTTTGATATTTTGATGGGACGAATAATAGTGATCGCAAGTATGTTTTGGTGGTTCAAACTTATTGAACGAAGTGGCAACGAACTGGAACTTTACCGGAAATGTCTGAAAACTGGAGAAAATTGAAGTACCGTTGTAACTCTTTTACCACAAAATCTTAGAATTTGTAAGATGAATCGCTTTCCCACTTATTTTGATTACTATGTACGACTTCCTTTCTTAAATATTTCCGAAACACGTTCTTTTTATTTCAACGGTATGTCTTGTGTTTTCCTGAGGCTAACGGGTAATTTCCTTTCAAAAGAAATTGTGGGGAATATTGGAGTGACAACTAAAACTAAGTGGTGTTTATGAATTTAAAGCCAGTTCGGACGTAAATAAAAACCATTGACTATCAGCTTCAGTTAAGCCTACTAATTAAACGAGGATGTCCTCAAAACTTGGACAAAGCAGGGTGAACAGTAGATAAAAATTCAAACTATTAAGCCAAACTTTGAAAAAAATTAGGCGACGTTAAACAAATTGAAAGACTTTGCATACAAATAACTTACCAAGGAAGCATTCACATATGGGTTATTACCTCAGTATCTGGAAAACTGACTACTAGTCTTCAGGAATCGATAACGAGTTATCTTCAAAAACTGGGGACAGTAATGTAGAGGATTTTGTTTAATTAATCCAATTTATTTGACGGAAGCTATAATAACTTTTGCTATCATCGCTAGCCAAGCCACGAAAATTAACGGTTAGCGCGGCGACGCTACAAGGTATCTAAATTTCTCTGGAATAGACTATGACCAACATAACCTAAGTAAACCGTTATTATACTACCGTTTCACTAATGTACTCCATTATTTGTTGAATCCACTTGTTGAACGCACTTGTAAGTGCGTTCAACTAGCTGTTAACATGTACATAAATGAAGGTTTAATGACAGCAAGCACAAATGATAAAAACCGACTCACACTAGCGAGTGAGCTTATAACAATTCAACAGTTTTATTCTGTAGGTGGAAAACCTAGTAGGCTTTGTAAAATTACTAGGTTACCAATTGTCACTAAAACCAATTAGAATTCACAAGAATTGTTTGACTTTCCATAATCCAACAGGCTTGGTGGAAATCAAGAATACGTGAAATGCCTGGTCCGTGACAATAAAAATATATATTTTACGTACTTTACATAATTCGTGTGCTGTGTTGTGGGAATGAAAGCGAATACAGGAGGCGGTTGCGGTAAATGCATTAGTGTGTATGTAGTGGTAAAGCAGTGAATGTAGCGGATGTTGAAGGTATAAGTCGGAAATTCGTCCGATATTTAGGGGAAAAGTCGGCTATTCGTCGAATATTTAGGAGAAAAGTCGGATATTTAGGGGAAAAGTCGGAAATTTAGCGACATTTGAAAACAAGAGCGACAGAAAGGGGAAATTCCGCTTTATTTCCCCCGGACAGGCGAAAAAGCAGACATTTCGGTGCATTTCCCCTTTATTTACGACTTATTTTCCAATGCATTTTCCGCTTTATTTCCCCTTTGTTCGCCTTTATTTCCCCTTTATTGCTTGTTTGGGCAGTCGTGAAGTCAGTGAAGGTCCCGTATACCGTAAATAAGATATATCCAGTAGTGAGTGATAGTTCACGGAGTAACAATGAATAATAGACAGAAAACAAATAACAAGCACAAACGCAGTATGTTACGTCGGATTGAGTAGCGTTACGTTGCGCATACAGTGAAGTAGGCGCTTTAAAACATTATGCCCAACCCTGGAATCAATTAAACAATGAGCACATTCAAATGATTGTAGACGAAATAAAAGACTTTTCCGCTTGAGTAGCCTCTGTATCTAGCAGCAGTGGCTTACCGATGCTTCAATGTGGGAACTTGGGTATATTTGGCGATAACTAGATAAATATTAGTGGATTGGAATGATGTACTAAGTCCTTAGGGATATGTCACGTCTTCTCGTGAAGCAGTCCTGGAAATGAGCCTGAACAACCTCATCTGACGACGAATTCCTGAGCTTGACTACTCGCAAAGACTGAAAGGCGTGCCCACAGCGTGTTCTGCTATTTTGTGTCTCCAGATTCTTGGTTTACCCCTAAGGTTGTTGTTGATACTGAGCTTAAGTAATTATTTAAGGGGGTGTTCAGGGACGTTTATGATTCCATAAATCATCAAAAGGTTGGCTTTGAGACGTATATGCTTTGATATGTTAACACTAAGTAATTTGAGGCTCTCTTCGTGTGACTTGAATTAGAGTCCCCGAAAAGATTTCGTGGCCCACGTATTCTTATCTTTTTTTAGATTAAATGAGGAAAAGCTACTTTCTCATACTCTCAAGATGGTCAAACGAAACTGTGAAAGACTTGATTGAAGGTCTTTCCAAACTGTCGAAAAACGCTGTGGAGATATATAAATCTCCAAAATAAATAGGTCATCATTACAGTCTGCATCTGTATTAGATGTGATAGAGTTATAAGTCGTAAGAAAGGAGGCATAATGTCAGATGTTGGGGATAACTTTCGCGAACAATCATTCATATCGGAGGCGCATGTTAGTGGTACATGTGAGGTAGCATGTTGTACAATTAGATCTAGAAACTAGTTAGTGACCATAGAAGGAATATACGTGGTCCATGTTGACTTGCTGATGACTTTATCTTAACACACATCTGTTCTTGGAGTAAGGCCGAAAATTTTCTCATCATCGGAGACTTTAACGCATAACACATATCAAGTGAATAGAGATCACAGATTCAGGTGTGGGTTTCGATATCGACCTTCAATCAACAATCATTCAGTGTGCACTTGTACAATGTATCGCAAAACCGAAATATATTTACTTGAAACATGACTCATCATTGCTGGACCTTGTCCTCACATACCACTGTGATAATGTCGTCGACACTAATCACCTTCTCCAACTAGTGAATGGTGATCACGTTGTGCTTTCCATTAAGTTCCCGGAGACATGGTACGCAATTTGTATCTGCTCCATCCCGTCCCGATATCTGGAGAGCTAATATTCCGGCAGTCACAGACTGTGTTATCTCGATTGACTGTTTGATCGATGCTGATGGATTGATCGAAGACGAATGGAACAAGTTTAAGGCTGAATTCCAGTCCGTAACACAACCGTTTATCCCATGGTCAAGACGCTGCTCTCCATGGATTAATGAGGAAACCCAGAGGTTGTTGAAGCGTAGGAAACGCTTCTGAGACGTATTCTTCTCCACCGGACAGGCATCATTTAAGTGAAAATTTAAAAAGACCCGGAATATACGTAAAAAGACCACAGCTAAATACCGTATAATTTACGAACGACAGTCGGCATATGATGGCCGTACTTGTCCGAAGCGATTGTTTTCGTACGTCAAATGGAGAACAAAATGTACTGATAGTATGTCCGCGTTACTGTTACATGATTCATATTTACCAGATGAATCAGATCTAGCACAAACCGAAACTTCTTCAAACTATTTTATTGAAGTCTACTCTACGTGTGTTGTTACGAATACTTGTCGCAATCACACCGAAATAACTGACATAGGATCTGTACATGTGACTGGGGAGGCTGTTTTTCCATTGATCACTAGCGTCAAACCTTGTAAGTTACTGGGCGCTGAGGGGTTACATCCACGCCTGCTGTCATCGCTTGTGGACATTATTTCAAGACCGCTCGTGATGTTCTTCAATATGTCCCTTTCACTCGTTCAACACCCTGGAGGTTTTAAAGATGCTATGATCAGTCCTATATTTAAGTATGGTCAGAGACGGATTGTACCTATCCAACGGCCTTTCAGCCTTACCAGCATAGTCGTCAAGTTACTTGGAAAGATAGTTCTGATTAAGTTGCTAATTCACATGGATTCGTACAATCTGTTAACTCCCGAGCAACATGGGTTTCGTAACAAGCGTTCATGCTTGACTAACTCATCGCGAGAGAGGACTGGACAACAGATAACGGTCTGTCTGTCG